TAAACACTGCCAACACGCGTCTGGCTCATAAGGTAGATCGCACCTTGCATGCCCGTGATGACCGCATCCATAGAATCGAAGCTTCCTACAAGGGTCAAATAAGCTCAGCGTCGTCGCGCTCGAAGAAAGCACAAAATCCTATCCATAGCAAAGCAGACGATGATAATGCGGTGCCGACTGATTCACAACCTGCGCAGCGTGAAGTTGTAAATGTCCTCATTCATTCTGACATCGAAATCGAAGAGCCCTGTTTAGAGCACTCTGCGAAACTATTTACGAACAGTAGCGTCCTCAACTTGACTCATCCGTATGCAGCACATCCCGGACGGTATGGCGGCCAAGCCTATCCTCACACTTTCGACACAGATCAGACGCAGCAGTGGCCATATAGTCCCGGATACTACAACGAGACAGCGCCTTTCAGTAATCTAGGGTCTCGCTCCGGAAACTACAACGATACTCGGCTCCGCAATCTAGGGTCTTGCCCAGCCCAGAACGGCAATCAAATTTTCGTGAATATGTTTGGTGTTGGTTCGGACGGGTCGGGCGGATTGTGCATGTGTCCCGATGGCAGCGTGTACGCGGTTGGTGATAACGATGACGAGTGTGCGAGCCTGGCGTGCGAAAATGGTGTAGTGCTTTCTTGCGATCGGCACAACACTGGCGAAGAATTTGCGCGTCGCTACAGAGCCGACGTGGTGGGGCGCAAAGTTGTCTGTGGTCTCTGGGATGACGTTCGCATCGAGGATCATCGGGATAAAGAAAACGCAACTTATCATGATGATCCTGTTGTCAGATCTTCGTCTTCCTCCCAGCGCAATACGACAAACAATGCCTCAACAACGTCCTCGTCGGCTACTGCAGAGGCCTCTTTAACACATGGCGACAAAGTTCGAGCATTGAAAAACGCAGCTAGGGAGACGCATGACAAACTCGCGGAAGTTGGAGAGACTTTGGAGCAACATGGAACGGCAATAGAGGCTCTCAAGGATGCAGTGGCGAAAGCTATGCAGGTGCGACTCCATAATTACAAGAAGCTTGTCCTTCTTGAACAGAAGCGTGCTACAGTTGCTGGACGACAAGCGGGTTCTGCTGCGTTTCCATCTCCTGCGTTTCGATCTCCTCGTCCATCTGTTGCAGCAAAAGGAGGCCGAGAGCCTGGGCATCAGCTTTCGTTTCTGCAAGATGACACAACATCCTCATTGAATTCCTCTGTGGACGAATTTGACACAACTCGCAGTGCAAGCAGTTCAGACCAATATATCGCAGAGCGATTCTTGTCACCACCTAGTTTTCTGCAGACCGTGGCTGAACAAGAAGAGCAGAAACAAGAAGAAGCTGTTGCTTGTGCTTCTCAGAGTGCTAATAAGTTTGAGCTACGGGACTTGGTCAGCAATTATTTGCATCATGGAGCCACTTCATCCTCGATTTCCTCCTCTACTTCAACATCCCAAAAATCCTGGGCAGGCTCAGGAGCTTCGAAGCCTCAGGATGCTGTAGCGAAAAAAGAAAAGCCAGGCAGCGTCCGCGGATTTCCACTCCTCATCTCAAGTCCATCGCAAATTTCGCTCTCGGCTGTTGCACCGCAAAAGGCCGCATCATCAAAGAACAGCGCGGATGAGGGTCCTGCCGCATCAGCCACAGTTTCCTACCGTCCGCGGCGTGGTACACCGTTTACAAGGGCTAACGTCCGAGTCACGTCAAAAGTTTCTAACCCTGAGGCGCCTGCGTCCCACCAGAGCACTGCTGGCAAAAAGGATCTCCAGGAGCACGATCCAAATAGTCAGCATCACCAGAAAATGAACGTGCCATCTCTTCGAAATGCAGATCAACGCACGCAGTTGTCAAACATGAATACCAAGGGCAACGAAGCGACTTTTTCAGGAAAGAGAGGCGAACGAGAGGATCATGGAAAGAAAAAGGTGCAACTCTCCAAATATCCGCCAGGGTTTCCAGGAACCTTGGGTGGAGGTCTGCATCCAGTCGTGCCTAGTGTTATTCCGGATGACGACCCTGAGCAGGATGGTGCGCAGCATTTCCATGACTTTTACCATGGCAGCACATATTCAGGAAAAACCGCGGACGATGCTGAAGATTCGACCGAAGAGCCAGAAACCACAGGACCAGCAGCAGAGGCAGCTCCAACTAGGACAACAACAGCAGCAGCAAATCATGGAAGAAGAACTACAACAACTCTAGCACCTGCACAAGGGGTGAGAGAAGCCACAACTTCTAGCACAGCGACCCCATCTGATCCAGGTTTGCCAGGATCGCCGGAAGCTGTGGAGGATCCTCAATCTGAGGAGCCAGACTACGGACCGGAAGACGTGAACACCACGACGAAGGAACCCGGGCTGCCAACTACAACCATCCCTCCTGAAGAAGACACGGCAACTTCGCCGCCTACCACTTTCCGAGCGACGACGGCACTACCGAGTACCACGCAGCCGCGTACTGTTCGGTCAAGCACTGTTCGACCGACCACCACTGTTCACCCGAGTACTGCTTCACCGTCCACACGCTCGCCGGCCACTCCTCATCCGTCTTCACGCTCGCAGACTACTGTTGTCCCTTCTACACGCTCGCCAACCACAATTATGCCGCCAACTACCAGTGTGCCAGCTGCTAGTGAACTGCACACTACTTCTCCTGCGACTACTGCTTTGCCGTCTTTACCCTTGCGGGAGGGGCTGGAGGATGAGAGCGAAGCCACTGCTTCACCAGATTCGACCTCAAGTACGTCCTCTCCTGATTTAGAGTCGGAGGATCAAGATGAACGTAGTGACGAAGGCGACGAGCATGCTTATGAGGAGCAGGACAGCTTCTTCGACTTGGATTTGCCACGCTTAGAACCGTTTGCGTTGAAGATTTTGACTAGTTCGCGTGCACCCTGCCTCGAAGATCCGGAGATGCTACATCTTCAGTGTGGCACCAACAGTGTCAATTTGGTCCGCCAAGGAAACTTGTTAGGTCCGAACGGAATGCAGGCCATGTGCCAGTGTGGGGACGGGTCCTACTATGCGGTGGCTGGATCGTACGGACCCTGTGAGGCGCTCCCCTGCTACAACGGGAAAATAGATTTGGAAACCTGTGAAGTCTCGTTTCTTCCGGTTGCAGATAATCCGTTTATGTTGTCTTTGGTAGGCTCAGGAACAGGTACTAACGATAACAATGGAGACATTTTCTATTTAGGAGAAGAAGAAGATTTGGAAGGCAGCAGTCCAACCGACACTGATGCCGCCACTCAGAGTGACTCAAAAGAAGCATTCTTGCTGTCACACGAACGCAGTGTTTTTTGCGACTTCTTCGAGCCCTCTGTCGGGAAGCTTAGAGGCGGTGAGGATGGAGGCCCGTTGGTAGGACCGTATGAAAAGACGTATGCTGATGTAGCGGTCTTCAACGCGACAACATCGACGCCTACTTCGCAAATTGACAGCAACTCCACAGTTTCTCCTGGGTTCTTACGTGTCTCCACTCCGCAGTCTGAATCTACCGCGGACACGAGTCGTGCCTCTGCTAGTAGCTCTGGCGCCCGTCAACGTCCACGAATGCAAGACAAGGAACTCACTCTGAGCCTATTCGAGGAAGGAAGCAAGAGCCCCTCTCGGGGATCGATGGATTCCACTGTGAAGCTCGTAGACGCGGCCCCATCTACCCTCTCTTCCGTGGCGGACCCTTGCGTGGAGACTGTCGATCGTCCAGCGCGAGAAGGAGGATGCACCGCCGCCGGTAACAACATCATTTTAGCGAATCAGGCGAATGTAGGATCGTGGGGTGGTCTCTGTACGTGTCCCGATGGAAAGCGCTATGCCGTTGGTGACAATATGGACGCGTGCGGGAGCCTGGCCTGCGCCAACGGAGTTGCAGGGGAGTGCCATAGGACAGATAATGGAGAGTTCCTTCTTCGGAATCGGCGCAGCATTGTTTGTGCTCCCGGTGTGTCACTTGTGCATCCCCAGCTGCAACTTCTTGAACTGCAAGGTGTGGCGAGCACGCTTCACGCGCCCACTCTAGCAGAGGGAGGACACTCCAACAGATTGTGGTGGATGAGCGAGTTTGACAAGAACAGAAATTCGTATGCTGGCAGCGAGTCTACCGACTCTTCGCACGAGCAACATCGAGTGACCCGTGTGGACCGCGCAGGGTTCAATTTGGAATTGGGCAAAGATCTTTCCAGTGGTGTGGCGTGGACTGCGGCACAGTGCGGCACCGATGTGTTCTCGAGGAACTTCCGTGAAGGCCAAGGTCCAGATAGGACCTTGATCTCAGCTGCGCCCCTCGATGCGCCCCAAAAAGCTTTGCACGATCTACGAGGGGATGAAACTCAAGAATCTAATTTTGCAGGGCCGCTCCGTCTACAGCAAGTGGGAATACAGCTCGAACATGCTGCTTTTGTCGCCGGGTCGAACAGGATGGATGTTCGAGAAAAACATGAAGCCGATAACCGTTTAATGTTGTTTCCTCCGATTGCAGGATCTGCTCTGGCTGGGCGCGCTTTCCACCTTCCGTCGGTCTTTGACCGTCCAGAGTTGATCGTCGTGACGGGCGTGCCCACAGCGCCATTGCATATCCCGCGGTGGTACACAACACCACCTTCGGAACGCGATGGCCGCATTCGGATGCGACTGCATGCACCCGCTGAAGTCGACCTCGACTGTGCGTCGGTAAATGCGCGCATTGGCGCGAGGGTGGCAGAGATTGGGGCAGACGGCGCAGAGCTGAGCCTGATACAAGAGGATGTAGAGAACATCAGGGGACCACACGCATCAATACTAGAGGACTCGTTAGGGTTGGACAATGTTAAAACCAGAAACACTCATGTTGGAGATGACAGTGCGCTTCCGTGGCTGGCAGCTTTGGAAGGAGCTCGCACACACAACGGATCGCCTTTCATTCAGACTGCAGCCGCAAAAGTCCCGCTTTCCACTGTGTGGCAGAGGGTCTCTTTTCCAGAGACGTTCCACCAAGGTGACGAGATCGTCGTTGTGCCCACGGTCCAACATTTGGAACCATCATCTGAGAACAATACAGCTGAAGATCATCAGGGCCATGCTTGCATCATTCCACGTATTCGCAACGTGAATAAGCACGGATTCGACATCCAGTTTCGCTCGCCATTGCGCAAAGACCCGCGTCTCGTAACGACATCATCCTCCAAGCCCTTAGAATTTGTCCGCTTCGGCTACATGGCTGTCGCCGCGAGCGAGAAGCTAGGCGAACAGGAGACGCACATGCGTGTGTTACCAGGCACTGGATTTCGTTACTGGGCTGGGCATCGGCACATTGCGGAGGATGAGCCAGCTAGAATTCACTCAACAGGACGTAGTTTATCATCTTCTGAGCAGACGGCTGTTCTTGCCGATCGTGGTTTTCGAGCGTCTAGCAGACTGCAGAGTCAAAAGTTTCCTGACGCAACAAATGTACCTCAGCAGGCTTCTTTTCGACGACCACTCGTTTTTGCTAGCTTGCAAACGGCAGAAAACCGCATGCCTCTAGTTCTTCGCCGGACAGGTGGCAATTTACACTTGCAGAAGATTCGCGGAGTCAAGAAATGTGCTTGGGGTGCGGCAAGCAAGCGGGAACGGGTAGGCATAATACTGCTAGAGCAAGCGAGGCTAGAGGACGACACAATGCGCCACATCAACTGGATGGCGTCCTCCACTAGTCTGCTTACGACAGGAATCCACATGGTGGATAGGAATAGAACAAGCGTTAACGCAAGTGGCGGAGGCGCCGCCAACGCCAACAATGCAGCAGGAGCATCTGCCGCTGCCGGTGCGCAGGCGGAACATAATGGATATTCGACCGCTCGAAACGCGACCGATGGAGAGCTTGGCGCTAGCCAGGTGAACAAGAGCAAAGTCAATCCCACTACGATTCGGAGCGTCAATATCGGAAAAGCGCCCAAGAAGTTGAAGACTGGAGTGACAGCTGTGTCAGTGGATCCGCTTCTGCGTGAGGGTGTGGTAATATCCCCTCCTTCGGGCGGGGAGGGTCCGCCGGCGCCGAGTGAGCTTGCAATTTTTTTTGGTCCCTTAACCCAGTACGACTACGACGCAGCCAAAGCGACACTTGGATCCTTTTCGGATACTGGGGAGGAGTTCACCGTTAGCATGGAGGAGCATGGCATCGACAAATGCAGGTACGGCACAGGCGACCACGGGCGGGAGCATTTGCCGTATGCCGTTTGGGACACTCGCGCGGACTTTGGCGATGCGGCCGAAATCGGGACTGCCAGTGTTTCCTACTCGAGCAGTGTTGCGAATGATATTGCCTTTAAAAAGCCATTCAAGGTTGACGCAACAGTGGGGCCAGCAGGTGGGGACATCGTGGTACTGACGACGTTCCAGCCGAAGTACAGCGCGAGACACCGTGTGTCAAGGATCGCTCGTGTGCGCCCTGAAGGTTTCACGATGACACTGGAGAAACCGATTCCGCGAGAAATTACACCCTTTCTGGAACAGAGTGGCGATCCGGCTCCGTTCAGTGACTACAGCAACAAGCAAGCCTCCATCTTTTACATGGCGATTCGGAGCACCGGTGGCAAGGTATCGCGAGTTTGTGCAAGTAATCAGGATCTGAACTACGTAGATTACCAGCTAAAATATTCTATTCATTTTTTATATATAAATAGTGTAGCAATCGACTTCAGCTCCAAGTGTTCCATATTGATTACTCGAATATGCGAAGGTTCAAGTCGTTAACCACCACTGCTGACAATGTTCATGTTGTACATCTTGATATCTTTGGCCACATACTTGAGGCATACGAGTGGTTGGACCCCGACGGAGTGACGCCAGAGCGCGTGACCCTACGCGCGCCAACGGAGAGAAATTTCTTCTATGCGGCTTTGGTGATTGATCTTGACTACCGATGGCGACGAGTTGATATGGTCGACCTAACCAAGTTCCAGTCTCCCAAGATCTTCGCAGAGGTGCAGTCGCGAAACGACGGCACCCCGCTTGTTGTACGACACAAACTCGCCAAGGACGGGCTCTATGCGCGTCTTCAAAATATTGAGAAATGTGGCTGGATTCCAGAACACAAATCGGAAAAAGTCGGCATATTGGTACACGAAGGCGTAGACGAGACAGGCGCACCGATCATGTTCCAGAAGAAAGTCCGAGACCTGGTCAAACACATCTACGTTGCAAAGGGGGAGCGGGTTATGAGAGGTACTAGCACTACAGCGATTTTCTTTGTTGAATCTCTTCGTTTTAATATGCATCAAACTGGAGGAGCACAATGAATTTCGATGTCACCGAAAAGTAAATGAGAGGACACCATGTCTTTCTGTTTCGCCCATGCACCAATTAGAATCATCTGCGGACTACATCTGCCTTCTATGATTATCACGGATTGAAACCCAGATATTGTCACGGATCTTGACCTCGATATGACGGACAACGTGACGGCTGCGATCCGGAACCCTGATGCGACACCTGATGAGGTTTTGAAGCACTTGCGAAGCGTACTGCAACTAGCACCGGCCGACCGTTTTTTGATTGATGGACAGCCTTTTACCGATGTGCAAGAGGACGTCGTGCAATCGTTAATGCAAGGCTACACCCCAGACGAGTTGGACACACTCTTGAAAGACTCTGATTCTGTCAAGATATATGCGGTTACGTCCTTGACCGACATCTGCGGAACTCTGCTCCCAAACTTGGCCGATTTGTTGTATCACGGAAACAATGACATGGGCGTCTTGTTTTACTGGCTGTTGGACAACACGGCTGCGGCGGAAAATGATCGTTATGTCGTCGCAGAAAGGATGCCATTTTACACGCTGCAGCGGGCCCTTGAGGAATACCTGTTAACCAAAGCCCTCCCGGAGTCTCAGCACGAGGACAAAAGTATCAAGGACCACTCACTGCAATGGTATTGTCGCGATCTCCGCAACTGCGTGGCTACAGCGATGGAGGACACCTTCCTGTTTCCGCAGATGGACTACGCTCTAGACATAAGTTCATCTCCTCATCGAATGAAGACTCACGTGGCAAGTGGCGAGGGGCTGCTTTTCTTCGGCCCCCTCGTGATCGAGCACGATTCAGGAATGCACGTGAACAGCTTGAAGGCAGCCGCCCAAGGTGGAACCCCCACAATGGATCTCGATGAGGAAATGCGACTAGATAAAAACGTGGCTCAGGCACGACAATTGCGCTACACCGAGGCTGCAAAGTTTCAGAAGCATGTGCCCGACCCACTTGTGGCGCTAGCCGAGCCGGTGAATGCCTGCACAAGCCGGGGAGCAGTAGGTTATGATGGCAAACATACTCGGGAGTCAGCGCCATGGTTCACTTTTTTACCGAAAAGGACGAAGCATCACATTGTCCGGGTCCTCACAGAAGCGGATTTCACTGCCAAAATTACAACGGTACTTCGATAGTGTCGTGTTCCCAGCTTGCAAACGATGAGACGAAGCTTACCTGATTCCTTAGTGTGTCGATCAGTTTGACGTAGGTTGTCAAAAGACTCCTTCTGCCTATTATTTTCGAAATGCTGGAGTTGTAGTTAGACTCGATAGATATCGCTGTGGTGATTGTATTTCAAGCCCCTTCCTACAGTTTGGCGGGTCACCGGAGTTTTCGCGTATTCGCTTTCCAGGCAAGTTGTTGCGATTCAATGTTACGAGCGTGCCTGTTGGTGGAGCGGCCGCAAAGGAAGAGCATTCCTCTGATACGGCCCCCGGAGAGACCGACGCCAGCAATGCTGCCACCGCTGGAGACTCAGAGACAACAAGCTCAAATTCAACGACAGCTGCGGACGATGGAACAGACGCGAGCGCCGCATCATCCGCTTCATCATTACTCGCTTCAACAGGTGGAGCAGAGCGTGGCAGTGGATCCTTCTTTAGCGCGCTGTATCGTTCGGCACCGAGCAGTGACAAAAGGGAAGTAGAGAAAGAGAGCAGTGCGGAGCCGAAAGTCGTAGTTTTCACGTCTGTCCTGGCTGGAAATGATGACGCATATCATGCGGTGCGTTTTGGTTATGTGGGAGAGGATGGCTTCGACATCGCAATTTTTGCCGACAAGTTGTCAGGACCATCTTCCTCAAAAGGGGCTGCGTTGGTCAACAGAGGCGCAACTTCGTCTGGTAAGCAGGCAAATCAAGAGGAGGTCGGCGAGGGGAGGGGGCGTCAGCGGTTCCGCATGGCCTATCTCGCGCTGCACACGGGTGGGAGTATGTTCGATTCTGTTTTGGGATCTTACTCGGCGGGGACCATGAGGGATTTGCGATTCAACACGTTCTATCCTGTCCCTTTCAACTTTCGGATGAAAAACCCGACGTTGCTGACACAAATCTTAGAAGCCAGCGTGGAGCCGGCTTCCATACGGATGCGCACGAGCGGGGAGTTCGGAGTGGAGCTCATGGTCCACACGTGCACCGAGCGCGGTGGCGTCGGCCATACTGCCACCGTGGCTTTCGCCGTCTTCGCGGGGCGCAGAAAGAAGCCAGAACGCGCCGATCCGCGTGGATATCCATTGGCCACGTACGTCACAGTTGCCGCGAGACCAGGAAACCCAGGCTTGGTGGTGGACATCACAGACAGCTACTTGTTCATAAAGGGAACAGGAGAGGAGCCGTGGATGCCAGCAAGCCATGTCCCGGAACAAGGACTTTTCAGCAACGGAACAAATGGGACAAACAGTTCTGCAAGCGGCACGAATTCTACGTTACTCGCCGTCGGAGGTGGTGAATCTTCTGGGGAACTCCTCAGGGAAGACCATCTGCCACTGCCGCGGTCTGCATCCCGTAGGAGGGCCGAAACGGCACCATCAGTGAATAAATATGGGCATCGACAGCAGGGATTGCCCGTGTGGAGGTCTTCGGCTTCGCTGCTGCAACAAGAGTCCGCTAAATTCAGGCAGCGACAAAATCTCAGTCCTCATGTGCGCCTTCCGACTGTAACTGAGGCAGAAGGGAGCAAGATCTTTCTCTTTCCCGGTGTTCCCTCGTCGAATGACCCGGCTCCGGTCGTGCCATCAGCTACTTCATCAAGTGCGCTTTCGGATTCTCTCTACACGCGTAACGCGGCATCATCGGCGGTGCCGAAGGGCCTGGCCGAGGCTCTCCCTGCGAGTGTGCTCGATCCTGATTTGGAAAATGTGGGAATTTTGGGCTACACCAAGAAGAAGCCGCGGAGCGAATACACGTTACGACTGCATGAACTGACGGACTGCGGCGCCGACGGGATCCACGCGTCCGAGGAGGTGCCTCTTTTGATAGCGCCACTTTCTGTGAGCGTCGGCTTCGAGGAAGTGATTGAGGGCCAGAGCGGTTTGGCCTTGGCGCCATCAGCCGCTGGGAAGACCAAATCTGGCACCAGTGGAAACACGACGTTGCTTGTTGCAGATACCTCGGAGGAGCTTCTGTCCGACAAAAACGGAACCGCAATAATCATGTACAAAAGGCGTCGGCGACGTGAAAAAACAAGTGGCACTAGAACTAGTACAGGAGCAGGAGGGACAAGCAATGGTACAGGCTCAGGAGCAATAAACGCGTCGTCAACACAGAACGGCACAGCTCCATCAAAAGCTGTGCCGACCGCGAAGGTGAAGAGTTTCGAGTTTAAGGTCAAGCCGAAGCGTTATTCGAGGCACATGGTAGATTACACTCCTTTGAATTTCAAGGAAAGCCCTTTCGTGCGAGTCGATTTTAAGGTGCCGTTCGCCGAGGAAACCGAGTGCGTCGTAGTGATTGCGACGCCGCTCGACCGGCCGTGGGACACCCCACGGTGGCGCCGTGTACGCCTCCGGGAAGTTTCCAGGACCGGGTTTTCTGCGACCATCGAGCAGGGTCGCGCACTGACATCCACAGAAGAGCTCCAGAAAATGCAGGACTGGTGGGCGGCGGCCAAAAATCGCGGTTGGACATTCAACGTTGCGCCTGTTCCACCACATAAGGAAAAAGGCCTTGTACTGAATGTTTCGAATACAACAAATACAGCCGCCACGACCAAAGCGTCGGGCACGTCTATGCTACAGATGGAAGCAGAAATGATGACCCCTTGGCCCCAGCAAATCGCTTACCTAGCTGTGCCCTGCACCACCGACGAGATATATACAAAAGATACGCCGCTCGAGAGCTATAGAGTACAGCTCTACTTCTTATTGACTTGGATTTTTCTCAGTGAAATCCTTGTCACTTCGCGATCGCACTTTTGTAATCCTAAGAGAATGAAGATTTTTCGAGGACTGACTTGTTAGAGTTCTCGATGTCTTTGTACATAGAAATTCTTTGTCTCCCCAATGATACATAGAAGATTAAAGCCTGCTAGTACCACAGAAGCCGCGAGTCGCGTCTTTATTTTGTCTCATTTTTTTTAAAATTACAGAAGTCGCGAGTCGCGTCTTTCGGAAACGATGTGCGGTTTTGGGCCGGCAAAATCATCGCAGGGAAGGATTGGGTTCGCGTTCCCGTAGCGAATCTGAAGAAGCCACTCGTTTTCGCCACGGATCTGACGGGCATGCGGTTGCAGAAAGCCGCGCCGCGCATGAAACGTTTGGGCAAGAAATGGTATATTCGAGTCCACGAGGCCCCACTAAGCAACTGTGTTTCTCGCAAGCTGACAGAAGACAGCAACGGCGCAATCCTGAACCAGACCAGCGCGGAAGAAGAGGCGTGGATTGCGAGCGGGCACTACCCACAGGACACACTAGGAGTCCTTGTGGTTGAAGGAACAGTTCTGGAGTCGACGAAGTAGATGACGGTTTGAACCGTCACGCACACACTCCCATCACCTGCAAGCGCAAAAAAAAGCCGAAGCTGATATGTATTTGTCGGTACATAAATATATTAACTACTAAGTAAGTAACGCATTACTTGTATGTCAATCAGATTGAAATTGAAGCTTGTTATTCTTAGTTGTTGATAGTTGTATCGGTTCACCTCTTGTTTCGTTGTCTACAGATCTCAGGGATAAGTTGCATAATCAGTTCAGTGGGATGAATTTATTCCCACAAATTTGTGGATTTTTGGTTCGGGTTTACCGAACTTATTGAATATAGTCACGTAAAAGTCGCCTAAACTCGAGTTCACTTTTGCGTTTTTCGTATTTGATTTCAACAGATTTCGAAGAAAGCACTCACACATGTTTCTCCTTTTTTTGCACAGTATGAACGATAACAGGGAGGTCACTAGAAAATTAGAGGCGAGACAAGGAACAGGAAGCATGCTCCCTCGAACTAATTATCTCGAATATCTGGCTCGTCTCTCTTCTATTCATCAATTACGATCACGTTGACAATGAGAATGATATTTGTTTTTGTATGAATATACAAAATCAACGGGAATATGGATTGTGAACAGGTTGTAATGGTTTTGCAGAACGTAGCATCTTCATCAAAGTGTATGATTGGGATTGGGTGACAAATGTGTGACAATGAATCCTTTGTACCTACTATTTTAGAAACGTTACGTGTGTGAGATTCGGAATCTTCTAGAGAAATTAACAAAGTCGGGTTTTGCAGAATACGAATCCAAGCAAGAAGAACTCGAAAATTGTTAGGTTGTTTGGATTTATCTATGCCCAAATTCGACGACGGTACCCCATATGAATTTCAATGTGGTTTCCCCTGACCGTCACGTAAGAAGGAATGTAAATCAAGAATAGACGAAGTTAGCCCCTGTATTAAGCATCCGCGCACTGGCACTCTCTGCAGCTGGAATGGACATCTGATCTCGTAAAGACGTGTGGTTTTCCAACCTATGATCGAAAACTCTCATCCCTTGGCCGCGCATGTGATTGATGGATCTCGATTTTCAGTGCAGGCAAGCTGGTCGGAAGTATGCTATCTACGGCTCTACCTGACACAGTCGTCTCCTTTTGGTATCTACAGAGGTGGTAGGGTCCGGAAGATCTTCGGTTGAGGACTAATTGTCTTAACTTCGAGCATCTGAAGAGAAGTCTAAGTACTTTTTTTCGCGTGCTATCTTGAATGACCTCGACGTTATATCTCTATATCAAAGTACACGGTGCTTCGAGAGCTCCAAATTATAGTCAAGATGATAGGCATAGGCTCGTCTCCGATGCCGCCTTCTTCTGGTTGTGGTGCTCCACCGATGCACAACCAGAACGTAAGCATGACCGGTGGCGGCACTGCGTCGTCGAGCTCAACAAGCGTTATTGTGGATGAGGAGGACGTTGAGCGGAGGCTGCGCGATCGCGAACGGCGCGTAGCACGAATGACTCAGTCGCTGGACCAACGCTGGCAACGTGCCAAGCCGGTGATTACGAATGTGGCGGAGCAGATTGAGAGTTGCTTGGCGCAAGTGGAAGAACGACCCAGAGAATCCTCTCGACTCCGACTGGAGGAGTGCCTCTCAGACGCACAGGATGCCATGGGGCAGCGTTCTTCACTGGCCTCAGAGCTGATCTTGCAACGACACACCAGCGCTGTTCTCGACAAGCTAAAGAAACTCGCAGTAAAAGCGACTAATGTGCTGAACGCGGGGACGGCGAAAGGGGCATCAACATCTGCGCCACTTCGGATGCACCATGGGTACTGAATATCGAGCACCTCGTATACTACATCCAACTTTTATGCGAGAATGTTCATAGAAGAAGAGGAGGGGAGGATACATTTACCCCGGTGTACAGTGCATACTAGCTAACGAAAAACCTCAGATGTATCAACCTTCATAATTCATCATTTCGTAACGCAGGTACCTTGCCTCCCTGATGCAGGACTCGCAGAGGCTTGCTCAGTTCCCAGCCGAATGTCGTCGCCTTCGGCTATTTCAGAGTGTCCGTAAGCTGGTCGACGCAGCCACAGCGCACGAATCAAAGCGCTTAGCCGCTTATTCAGCATCCTTGGTGCGAATTGCAGGTGGAGATGATGGTCAGCCTTCAAGTCTTCAGGTGTCTCGCGAGGGCGCGTCGTCGTTGCCACATTATTGGGCTCAGCTTGAGCGATTTCCAGATCTTTTTGAAGCGGAAGTCGCTTCTCTCGTCAACAAGCTTACGACGTATCTGAGGGACACGCTTTGGCGGTCAATTGGTGTCTCTGGCCTTCCAGGCAGTGCTTCGCGTTCGGGCTCGAAGTCTCCTAGCAGCGCGTCGGGTTCAAATTATCAAGTGAGCATACAAGTCGCGTCTGACACCGTCTCGTGGACTGTTGCGGAAGTAGATTATGATCATCCCGCAGACACCAGCGCCGCACTTGCGCAGTCAGGTCCCGGGGAACAAATAGAGCACCACCCTCACATGATTTCTGCGTTGCAGTCGTTCTTGCAGTTCCTGAGAACGCGCTTGCACCTGGGTCCGGCGTCGGGAGGGAACAGAGTGTGGAGGTTTGTCGCGGAAACGCTTCTGAGACCGCGCAACGGCACGCCGATGCGCAGAACACTTCGGGATCTGCGGCGGGCAGAGTCAAAGGACCTAGCACACGTAGCGGACGCAGACTCCAACTTTGACAATTTGGACACGGGTGTATTAGCCAGACAAGATATGAATGCAGCTCGTAGCAAAGATTCAACGTCCACATCGAAAGGAGGCACAGCGGGTCATGATGTAGAGGAGCTCGAGGAAGAATTGTGGGAACGAATCGATACTCTTGAAGCTGCTACTCGCGAGGAGCTTGGGTTGCACTCGCTTTCTATCGTCGGAGACCTGCTACGAGAGCATCAAAAAACTAGGAAGATGGAAATCATTGGGCGAATCATCGAACGCAGTCGACGGCTGCTATATCGCGGTCCTGAGCAAAAACATCGATCGCTGTCACCGGGAGGACCATCACGACAGGACGCACATATTAACGGTGTGACCGCTACTTCGGTTTCGGGTATAGCAAAGACGGAATGCGAGACCGAACTGTACTGGACAGAGATGCTTCGGCCAGCTTTGGAAGCTGGGCCACATCCGCTTCAGAAAGAAAACTTGGAAGCAGCAGAAACGCTCGTCTTTCTGTTTTTGTTGGTGCGATGCACGCAGCGAGGTGACCTTAGTCGGGACGCAGCGCTGTGCGGCCGCTTCTTTCGCGATGCCAATGCGCTTTGCGATAGGCTCGCCTCATTTGGCGTACAGCTACAGAGTCGCAAATTGCAAGGCCAAACAGATGCAAGTTTTCAGCAGGTCGCGGCTCACAGACGGGGCAGCTTTACGGCAGGCAAAGATCGAGGACAAGAGGTGTCAACGGCGCAGAGGGTAATCCTGCGACTCTCGTTGCAAATCCGAAAGATTAGTGAAGATAAGCTGCGGGAACTCGTGGCGACTTTTCGTGGGTCCCTAACGTCACAGCTCGCAGCTGTGGCATCAGCGGAGAGTGCAAATGAAGTATCGACAGCGCTAGCAGAGAGCGTGCATTCCATTAAGACGTTTCTCCAAACACTCCAGGGGGCGCTTGAAACCAGTGTGAACCTCATGGGAGAGGACGTCCGTTCGTTTCTGGCCCGCGAGTTCGCGAAAGACTTCGCGGCGCATTTTCAGAGGTTCAAAAAGTCAACATTGGACAACAAAGTCATGGAAGCACTCTTGCACCTCCAGTGTTTGGGACTCCCCGAATCGGAGTTGCTGGAAATCAGGGACTTCTTCACTGAGGAGGGCAAAAAGCACTTCTAAAAACCTCTGATAACGTGTTGTCACGGCATTTCTAATCGGCTCTGACATCGTCGCCGTGTACTAGCACCAACCAATCTCGAATTTTGATTGTGCCTCACCAATGCTCCTGAAGTGATATCCTTTTGTTCCGTATAATTAGAACCCTACGCCACTAAAGTTAAATTCAGACGCGCCGTGATTACGTACCAAAATCACTTGCCGTTGCTGTGGGGAACTCTCCTTAAAGTCATGGATCAGCTCGTGCGCCTCTCACAAGAAAACCAACGGAGAACTCCAAGACGCGAGTGTTGTAGTAAGGAAATTATGAATATTAATTTTGATGATAATGAAGCTAACTACTGCTCAACAATGGCGATGTCCGGATGCATCGTGAGGTAAATCAATAGGTAGGTTATCATGAGTTTGAGATTGTTGAGTGATCACTGAGCTTGAGCAGGGAATAAACGGGAGCGATCTGGCACTATACTACGAGTTGTAAATTGTTATAGCCGACTAAAGGAAAAAGAATGCGCACCATCTTCACTGTGGGTCAGGCTTGCGTAGTACGGTCATGCTTTCATTACTGCGAATGCGATATGGCGACCGGCACTGGAAAGCATGCGGTTTCCAAATACTACCACTGACCTTCCCACGTGAATTTCTTTCTATCCGCCACGTTTTCGAGAGCTTGGGGTTTCAGCGATGGAGGCCTTGAGCGAAGATGAACGTGAAGAATTCCTGGAATTTTTTGACGCAGAAGAACTCGATGGGCTGCATCAGCTCTTCCTCGAGCCTGCGGGTTCCAAAGGGTATCTCACTTTAAGGCGCCTCTCAAAACCCATCTGATTCTGATGATCAAGAGCTTCCGTTTTTTGGGACGGGATCTATTGCAAGGTGCAGGAACTACGTAAAGTTTTTAGATGAAGAGAGAAGCAACTTGAACGCAACACAGTCAGAGGATGCAATTACGGATTTGCGGAGAGCTCTAATTCCTGCAGAGGATCTGCACAAGGTTCTCAGCGAAATTCACCTGGAGGGTGTCGAGGGCGTGCCTGAGTTAGAAGCATGCCAACGCTTGCACGAGAAGGTATTGCGATCGCAAGGTGGTGGCGGTGGCCTCGATTTCGCTTTTTTCCTGCGGGTCTTGCAGACTATCCACCAGGAAGACAGTTAGGCAAGGATTTTTCTCGTTGCACCACGTTAGTTTTTTTTATATTTTGCTAGCCTAACAAGGCCCAACCTCTTCGGGACCGCTGGGGCCATCCCGATAGCTTGCCAGTGAACCCTCGGAGCGGGACTCCCCTCCCAAGGATCGCGAAGCGTGGACTCTAAAAGCGCCCCCAGGGGAGTCCCAACCCTTGGGAGGCGCGGCTCGGAGTTGCTTTGGAGGAGTGTCAAAAAGGGGGACAAAAAGGGCCGACTTTGACACCCCAAACGACCCGGGTCATTTGGCGACCATTTTGGGCCAAAAAGGGTCGCCTTAAGGCACCCCCTGCCTCGCCCGCACTAGGTGGGACCCTTTCGGTCTTCGCTAAATGACCCGGCAGCTTTTTTTCAAAAAAGGGGCGGAAAATGCACCCAAAGTGATCCGGTACTTTTTTAGCCAAAAAGTAAAGTGCAGCTTTCGGGCACCCCTTGCCTGGCTCAGACCTCCGCCGCGGAGTTTGGCCCCATGGACGGCGAGCCAGGTACCCTTGGCGGCTGCCTGTCTGCGAATGTCGACGACACCGAAGTCCTACAGTCACGTGATGGCCGGGGTGTATGCATGGGTGTGAGCCAGGCCTTGCACCTGGCTGCAGTTTTCAAAAAAGACTTACGCGGTGCAACGAGAAAAATCCTGGTCTAAGACAGCTATTCGGTTCTAGATGCGATTTCAGTGGACGAAAGCAGCGAAGAGGAGGAGGAACAAGGTGAAAGTCCTGACAACGAACAACCAGATAGCGACAAAGCAAATAAACCCGACGCTTCTGACCAAACTGCTGCAGCTGGTGTCGGTAGCACAAATCTACAACAAAATGAACCCGATGATCCACCGAGCTTATCACCTGAGAATACGACAGGAAACGAGACGACGCCTTTCGACAGCGCTGAGAGTCTACTGGCCAGTCCAGAAAGCGTTCCTCCAGAAGTACCACCTTCAAAAAAGTCTACAACTGGTGCAAACAAGCCATCAACTACAGCGACCGCATCGAGTACAGCATCTTCGAGTCTGCAGCGGACTAGTTTGAGCAGCTCAAAGAAGGCCGAAGCCGGTGCTGCTATCGCGGCTGCGTTGGTTGACGAGGATGCTGCGAAAAAACTGGGAAGTGCGCTGGAAGCTCAGTCTTCTACTGTAGTTGGAATTTATGAGAAAACGATGCCGCAAAACATGCAGCTGATCCAAACATTACATAAGGAACTTGAGGATGAAAGTGATGCCGCCTACGCACACGAACCTCGATTCTCTCCAAGCGTGCCATCATCGGATGTCGCCGTGACTCCGACAAACGATCTATCTCTACGGGGAGCACCGGGTGAAGGGACAGCAGCGAAGAAGAAGTACTACTTACACTTTTTCTACAACTCTGGAAGATGTATTGTGAGTTTAGCTTGTGTCATCTGAACATGACTCGACGCGAAAAAAAGGGGAGGTTATTCTCGTTAGATATTGGAAAGCATGGACTTTTATTCTGTGGGTAGAATTTTATTTTTGACAATGAACTACAGGTCAATCAGGACTTTTAACTCTACGGTACAGCCAGCAAAAGAGAAGAGCCACCAGACAGAGAGCAGTTCTTCAGAGAGATCGCAGAGGTTACAGCTTCAACGCGACTACCTCGATTTGCAAGCTTCATTCAATGCTGCGCTAGCATATGCTAAGTTCTCTGCTTTGCGTGTCGCAAACCGGCTCCATTGTGGCTTTGACTCCTTGCAGGCAGTTTCCGACGAGCAAGACCCTGTCACATCTGGCGCAGATCGTGAAGATAGTGTCGTGAATTTAGCGGTGGGAGACCCGTCACTAGGGCGCTCCGTGCGGCGATTTCTCCTCGAAGAGTTGCACTTGCAAGACTTCGAAAGTCTGCAACAGTCCGCTATTGACAGCGCGTCAGACGAAGAAGGTGATCCGCTGTTGAGGCAGCTGGGCACAATGACCTCCCCGATTGCGCAGCAGCAGCGCGAGCTTCTGCGGGACTGCATCGAAGAGGTGCAGCAGGTCGTCGACAAAGCGACGCTACGCCTAGACACTGACGTTGTGCGCCTGCGGCGCGAGCACAAGCTCCTCCGAAGCACGAATAACGGCCTGCAAGATCTCGCGCGGAAGAGCATGCACGGCGCAAAGAGACTTTCTTCGGTTGTCGGTATGGCTAAAGCCAGCAGGAAACTCAGCATGCCGCTGCAAAAACTTGTATCAGGCATCGGCCTTGGTGAGGGATCAACCGCTGACGAGGACCTAGATGTCAGTGTTGAGGAAGCAATGCATGCTGTGGAAGCGATGGAGGAGACCTTCGCGAAAGTCGCAGAACTCGAAAAAGAGGTAGAGGCGCGCAACACCGAGCTCAGAGCAATGCGAATTACGATTCACATGTAGAGCATTTTCTTGATGCTGATGTTGCAGCTCATCCTAATTGCATATTGGGCAACTTTCTTGTCGTTAGCAGGTCGTGGCACAACAACTGATACTCGAGTCAACTCTGGACGAAAGCTTTCATCTCTAATCTGACAAATTCGGAAAGCGAGCGTGCTCTATCGGCTATGCAACTGGAAGAAGCGCGAGGAAAAATCGAGAGCCTCGAGAACGAACTGGTGCAAGAGTCTTCGAAACACGAACGGGAGTTGGCGTCGTTGCAAGACGGTGCGGCTGAGCTGGCGACGCGCCTGCAGAGGAACGCGGAGGAACTAGCGATCGCGCGAGAAATCAAAAACGAGATGCAGAGCCGATATTTCGAGATGGAGCAATTGTTGCACAGTGAGTTGGAAAGGAGAAAAGAGGAAAATGGTATTCCGGAACTCGACACGGACGTGACGATGCAAGAGGATGAAGATTCTATTTCTGCTGACTCGCGAGCAAAGAACACCACAGCGTCCGGCGGAGGGGGTGGGTTGCCAGGAAAAGCGCGCGCAAAACAGATGTATAATCGGAAAGGAAGCGGTGGTGCTACAGCCAGAGGACAGGATTGTTACATATTAGGCCGCGAATTCATTACTGCTTACTCAAGTAAACTCATAGAAGGACAAAGCATTTCGCTTTCTCAGCAAAATTTTGCGCTTCCTGGAACAAATTTTTCTGAGGCTTCGCACGATCGCAACTTGAGACCAAGTTGGTTCAAAGCACTGCGTGGAATATAGACAGTTGTATGAGCAGTACAACTTCGCTTTCACCGCGCTGTGCTGAGGTTTGACGAGCGTGCCGTAAATTAAGTAATTCGAACCTCTTAACGGCGCCCTTGTCGGTATCGTTTGTAGGTTGTTCTGGCTGCAAATCTGACAGGGTAAAAATAGATACACATCGCACCAGCTACACACAGTATTGCAACAGAGGCTGATGCTTCCTTGCACAGGCATACTCACTTATTTTTACAGCTTAAATGCGCGATCGGTCTCGCTCCCTGAGTCGTCAAGTACAGCGCAACAGCAGTTCTATGTATCTATAAAGCATCCGCCGCGCTGTGGTGGACACTTATGGAATGCTTGACCACTTAACGAGCGAGAAAGGGTAACTGAGGGAGCGTCCCATGTGAGCAATCTCTCAAGAGGAGTAGAGAGACACTGTTTGATGAAAGCGCTCTTTTAGTCCAATGCACAAAGCGATGATCATTCATCATCGGATAAAAGTTTTTGTACGAGGTTGAAAATTGCAGCATTGCGATCCTCTTCAGATCTTCAGATCGTACCAAAAAAAACCTTCAGGGAAACAACAAGCAGTTTTGTTTAATTGTATGGATTCTAGTGCTAATTGTGACATACTTCAAAGTGCTAGGCTTGTATAAAGTTGAAGAAATATTTTTACATATACGAGGGAGGACTAGCGGAGCCATGACTGAGTAAGTATGCTTATCGACATTGTAGGTTTCAGAATAGCGTGACTCAGAGTCTGAGAAGGTTTCCTCAAATATTTCTCGTTAGTGCCAGTCAGAAACAGAGTTAGTCACTAAGTTAGAGTTTCAACAAGACTTGAGCTAATAAATATATCGCTTTGTATGGTGGATGCTGTTGCTGAGGCATATGAAAGAGAAGTTTTATTTACAGGGCATTCAGTTCTGTTAACTTTCAGAGAATATCGTTTCATCTTTCGAAACAAGACAGCCCAGGCTATGAATTCGGTCGATGCTCCACAAGTTTTCTTGGAACTCTCGCATAACCTTCATCTTTTACATCACAGTGGGTCGTCGTGGTTGCGATACAACTAGCGCTCACTCTCCCTTTCCTGGCGAGCGTGGGAAAGAATCCGAAGCCTGCGATTCTCCTACGTAAACGACATCATCGTTAACGATTACGCGCACAACGACGCACACTTACTACAGCCGAAACAAAAGACTCACACCTGGACCTGCGAACGGAAAGTGGTAGCGTCTTAAGAAGGTGAACGCCGGGCTTCGCTGACCTTCGGATTTAGACGTTATTTGCTTCTTTGCATACGATACAGCTGGAGGTCTACACGAGCAGGCGACGAGAATGACGGACTTATTTGGCCCTCTGGAGTCGGAACAAGGAGCAACACTGTTGCCATCGCACGTCATTTGCCACGAGGTCGCACCAGCTGCGCCCTTTCCTGATGAAGCAGCAAAGACAATCAGCAAGAGAACGAAGTACTATTCAAAACTCCACCGGAGTTTTGATTCAATGATGATACATAGACGATCAAAATGAAGTTAGTCGCGGCAATCAAAATTCGTGCGCCTACAGCAACTTGTCCATAGAAGATTTCGTTGACATAAATATTTGCAACGAACATGAAAAACTACAACTTCCACTTCGGGTCTTATAAATAAACTTTTCAGGGAGAGAAGCCTGACATGGACGCAGAACAATCGGCCGCCTGTGGACACACGCTGTTGGGATTTTTTCCGTTTGGGTCATTGCCCTCGCGGGAACCAATGCAAGTGGAGCCACACAGAGCAAACAGAATATCAAGATGTGCAAAAGAATAAGGTTGGAAACGGCTTCTATAGTGCTGCAACATCGTCTGGTTCTTCCAAACACCGAAGAAAAAGCGGATGGCGCAAACGATCGCGTGGACGACTTCCCTTAAGCTGGAAGGATGGGTTTCCAGGCGACTCTTCAACCACCAGCAATCATCATAATTCGAAGGAGCACACGCATTTCCGATCTACAACTAACGACAATTTGCGTGTGGATGCGGCAACTTTCTCCAGCACGAGTCCTGTGGGGGAAGCTCCGAGCGTGAAGGAGAATGTAAAGCAGCCGATATTAGCGCAGCGAGAGCCGGAAGAGTGTCAAGTGCCACCGCCAGCCCCTCCTGCGCCAATGTCGAAGCAGCATGTTCTCAACGACAAAACCGACTTTAGCAGTCCTTCGCTGCGCAAATCGCGACCACGCGTGGACTGGGTCGATGTGGAACATACTATAGACTCGCCGGGCATGGATTCGCCTGGGACCAGCGCAATGGAGCAGCTGATGCGAAAAAAGGAACTCGCTGACGCTCCCTGTGACAGTCCGCCTGCAGCTCCGACAGAGTACTGCTTTACTACGCCGAATGTCCCGACGCGCCGCAAGCGCAAGCCGATTGCTCAGGCTGTTGCTCCATCAAACGGCTCACAAGATCACGGTTCACAAAGGGCGATGACGTGCAACAGAAATAATCGAGTCAAAGATGAAGTGATACAAGGATCCACGGAGAAGGAACACTCCTTCAAGGGCAATGTGTGCACGCCGCGAACTGCATCTACTCGGGCAGAATCGATGATCAGCGGCTCTTCTACTATAAAAAAATCGAATTTGAGAACTAGTGCTAGCTTGCAGACGCCACCTTCGAGGGTTGCGCTGGTCGTAACGAAAAGCGATAGCATTGAAAAGGGTGACACTGCAGCTGCTACTGGATGTAGGAAAGAGAGTCAACATAAGTCACGTTCTTCGTCCTCGAAGTCGGCCGTGCCGCGAAAGCGATGTTGTCCTGCAGCGAACGCACAGACGAGTCGCGGAGAGAGCGCTGCGAATGTAAAGACGACGCGAGGAAGCGAAAAATGTATGCCTGGCGGGCGCGCAGCATGCAACATGTCGAGGCCGGAGAATCAAGCTAGCCACGTCCGTGGCCGCACTAATCAGGAACTCAACACCAAGAAGCCGCCTGCGCGAGCCAAATCAGCGCGAGAAAGAGGGAAGTCGGCCAATCCTGCGGCCTCAACACACCGACACGGACTATTTTCAAAAAATATTCGCGCTCGATCCGCATCGATCGATAGAAGAAAACCATCACGCTCTAGTAGTACAAGTGCAGCAACTAGGCAGGAAACCAAGAAGGAAAAAAAGTCTGCCATCACTGCTGCGGATGACCTTGGTACTTATTCTGCGCAATACGTGAACAATCTCCGTCGTTTTGAGCGCATTCGAGGTGCCGGCTCTCAACAGTGGCCATGGCGCCGCCGCACTGATGATCATCTGTACCTTTCGACTGCTCAGAAACGGCAGCTCTGCCGCAGATTGTGGGATCAGCGACGCTCTTTCTCTGCCGTCTCTGACACAGATGGCCGTGGGCGCCGACGCGCGGCTCTGCTCCGTTATCGCGAGCCATTTAATACCTCTTGGGTTTACAAAAGACGCGCAGGGGGCAACAAATTAGCGTTCATCATGAGTACAACGAGGTCGTCTTACAAAAATACAAACCACCATCATCAGTCATTCATGAAGAGTTTTGGTACAAATATCGATCTCACGACGCTCACGCATAATATGAGGGTCGCGATTAAGGCTTGAAGCGTTTCATACTTGTGAGAAGCCTTATTTAGCACATTTCGAGAAAAAATGTGAGGCGCATATATGATTATGAATTGTTTCAACCTTCAACGCAAGTGCGAGAATAACTGCCGCCCGAGCTGCCGCATGTAGAGCCAAGCTTTATCATGGAGCAACGGCGCCCCTGCGCGTGCGCCATCCGAGACTTAACCCCGAAGCCTATTTTGATGGGCAGCATGATCCTCGTAAACCTACTGGCGGGCGTGATGCGGTAGGTGGATTACATCAAGAAGCGCATATATCCATGGAAAATGGCTACGGAAATCCATCTGCGTCTAGTACTCGGTTCGGCTTCGCGGCTGCGATTTGTAGCTCGGACCAGATGGGTCAACAAGACCCATGGTTTTGGTATCATGGATCCGTGCCGCTTTCCTACAACTCGGGTCCTCCGCAAAACTCTATGAGGTGGCGCGCCTCCTATCAACATCCTGCTGGCGATCATTACGACCACGACAACTCGGTTGCGCAAATATTCGGGCATTACTCTAGTGGCCGCGCAAAAGAGTTTTCCGCCAAGTCCAACAACTCGTCAAGGAACGGCACCGCCAGAGCAATACCAAAAACTGCGCCGTCGGCATCCATGTCGAAAATGCTAAATGAGCTGTTGAAGAGACCGGAAAAGGTACACGAAGTCGCTCCTGTGCCGGTTTTAGCGGAACGACGTGAAGGCTTTTCGAGTTCGACGACAAATTTGTCGTCTCAGACCTGTTCTGCGCAACAAGCAGAGGAAGATGAGCGGGAGCGTAGACTCCTTGAAGGAATAGAAGAAGAGTTGTTAGAAATGGACGGAGAAAAACCTCTTCAACGAGAAGTGTCGGAACAGCCGCCCGAAACGACATCTCGATCCGCCACTTCGACAGACAACGAGCAAACGGATAAAGAGGAATATCAAGCGGTGCTCCAGTCCTCCAACGACATCAAGCTGAAATCGACAACCACAGCTCGTCAGGGTACTGCGAAGAGCGCGGCGGGTGAACCCTGGACTTCATCCTACGATCACCTGAGACGCCAGAATTGCGGCAGGCGTTACAACGATATCCAGTGGCGGGAACAATATGATTTCCACAACTGTATGCGACTGTCATATGATCAATTTGCGCACCACCCGAATGCTTATTTCATGCCGCCAGGCGCCGCCTATTACCATCATCTACGGCATGACGCATCATGGTGGCAAGACGCGTCTTGGGCTTCAGGCTGCCCTCACACAAGATGGAATCCCGCTCGACCCAATAGACGATCACATGACCACGATCGCATGAAACACTTCTGCACGAGACAATCACGTATTGTTCCTAACTTACACCAAGTACAAATTTCCCAACCCCGATGAACTACTTTTTCCAGATCTACTGGCTGAAGAATAAGCGTGGTTTTCAGGCACTCTCCATCCTTCCAAACTATGCCAGGAGATGCACCAGACGTGAACCAAGCGAATGCGGTGGCAGCGTCAGAGGAAATTTCGGAACAGAATGCCGCTTTGCCATGTTCTGAGAAGGTCCACATTATAATAATTTTACACCTCTTGTTGCTCTCGTCTACTAAATAACTCCGCTTTTCTACCTCTTGTGTTAGTGTTGTCATGATTGCAATTTTATAAACCGAAAAACAGGCTGCAACTGACGACGAGTCCGAAGTACAAGCGAGTGTGAACTGAGCGGGAAAAAGACGACCGCGTAACGCAGAATAGAGCAATAGGGAAATAGCTGTAGCAGAATGTAGTGGATGTGGACACAAGCACTCTTTCATGTGCTACACATAAGCATAACATCATTCAGACAAGTTTCATTCTACCTTGTTCTGATCCATCAGTATAGGCGTCATTTCTATCTGCTAGGAAGCACGTCTTGTTACATTTTCATATTCCGCCCAAAAGACACATTCTGACAGCACGCGACAGCAGGTACAGTCACGCCAATATGAATGCAGGCGTTTTCTGCGATCTATGCTGCGCCGCTGAGGCTTGTTGTAATTTATCTCTTTTTGAGCTGCATTCTGAAGGATACGCTCTGCGAAACACTGTGTGCCAAGTTATTAATCGTAGGTTGGGTTCGCATTTTCCATGCGAATCACTTTGATAGGCATATCTACTCACCATCATGGTAATCATTACTTGTTGGCTTCGCTCCCGCCCAGGTGTGTCATTCTCGTTGGATCTTCGACGAGACAACTCGAGCAACACGCGCCCCGGGTTTTCTCTCACAATGTAGCAAATTGCTAGACTTTTCCAAAGCCCTGCGCCTTCTTTCCCATGGTGCTTTAGCCCTTCACGGTTGCTGTGGCTGTCGCCTTTTTTGTTCCACCTCGCTGCCCCCACATGTTTGCTTGGTTCACCTTCCTTGCCTCCACTCCCTTGCTTCCATTTCCTTCTTTCCACCTCCCTGTCCTCACCTCCCTGTCCTCACCTCCTCGTCCCCAGCTCCCCGCCCTCACCTCCTTACCCGCACCAACTTACCCCCATTTCCCTACCCCCACCTCCTTGACTGCACCTCCGTATCCCCACCTCCGTGACAGACTGCACCTCCTTGACTCCACCTCCCACCTCTTTATCTCCACCTCTTTGACTCCATCTCCTTGACTCCACCTGCCTGCCCCCACCTCCTTCTCCCCATCTCCTTCTCCCCACCTCCTTGACTTCACTTCTTTGACTCCACCTCCCTACCCCCGCCTCCCTATGTCCACCTCCCTCCCACCAAATCCTTATTTCCACTTTCTTACCCCCACCTCCCTGCGGTAACTGCACTGTGTTCGCTGTCGCTGGTATGGTCTGGCTCTTTGCCTGGAGATAAGCCCCGACGAATGAAACTGCAGCTGATGTGCCAACCGGGTATGTTTCAACCCGTACATAAAAATATTTCGCGTATCGGGCCCCCAGGCAAGCAGACCAGGCTCGTTCTTGGGCAGTTTCAGTGGGTTTCAAGGTTTAAGCTTTGTGATTCGTTACATACGGTCTTTTTCTGTTTCGTGTAAGGATTGAGAATAGTTGGCCATCGGTAGCTTTAGGCTGGGAATAAAGTTCAGGGCTGTTATTCTCGATTTTCAGCAAATGTCGAGTTTTATGGTTAGCTAGGTTGGTAGTATTAAGCTAAGGAAAAAGTTGCAGGCTGTAGGTCTTCGCTTTCAGCAAGTGTTTTGGTAGCAGCCCACCAGATCGGCCGACTCTAGTTGATTCGGTTTCTAATTTTTGACCCTTCTGCGCAGCTCTTATTCTTAATTTTTTACTCTTATTCTTTACTCTTTTTCTTAATTTTTATTCTGAACATTCACTACTTAAACTTGAACGCTTATTTGTTAAAGTTATACCCTTATACTAGTTAAGTCATAGTTTTATAGTCGGAGTAACGTGATAAAAAATAAAAAAAAAGTCGATAAGTGATTTTCCTTATTCAGTTTCTTACTGATGCGATGAGGCTGCGCGCAGCCGATACGGAGCAGATGTTTTCGGGAGGTCTTTTCTTTGCGAAACTGACGACGTCGCGAAGTCTCGTCGTGGAATTCCCGACCCAGAAGTGGTCAGATACTGCAAGTTGTTACTTTGATGCAAGTAAGCCTAGTAGCTGGTCGCGTAGGAGGTGACGAAGTAGCTGCATGCTGAGGCTTCGCACGTATGAGCTTGCATTTGTTTTTTTTTCGATCGTGGCTCGTTTTGCTTATCTGGTTGTTAGCTTAGTTGTCATGTCCTCGCTCTTGGTAACTACTCCGCACCCAGTGGCCAGCTTCTATATTTATTATCTTCAGCGTCATGGCGTCAATATAGACAGCGCACAGCGCTCCAAGGTTTATTTTAACTCGAGTCGGTGACGATCTTGGTCGCGGCTACTACTATTACTACTACTACTACTACTACTACTACTGCTACGGCTACATCACGGCCCGCGCGCTGCTAGTCATGTTCTGCTGTTCGGATAATACGGGCTCGGCGTTTCTTGGACGAAGTGGCGGCCGCGACTCGTCTATGAGGTCGCGAAGACAGCAACTGGATAGCACGCACCAGCATGGCCACGGCCACGACTATGCTGAAACAGCTTTTGGCTCCGCCAAGACCTCGCCAAGCAAGGCGCGCGAGGATCGTGAAGCCCTAAACCCTAGGCCCTGAGCGCCCTAAAGTCTGCAGCCATATCCTCGGTCGTGAGTTAATCACCTTCGTCGACTTCTTGACTTAGAACGTCAAGGCCGCGACTACAGCCGATTCCTGTGCTCTGCAACTCTTTGAAAGTGGCTCGGTATACTCCTCGCCGTGCAAGCTAGTGAAGCTCAAAGTTGTGCAGTGCGACAAACATGAGGAGAGCTACTTCCTCCGCTTCGTAGCAAGCTAGTAAGAAAATGCCAAAGAGACAAACTCGACGATAGGCAAAAAAGAGCGCGGCACGAAAATGGTCACCGTGGGCGAAATGGAGGCCACTCGGTGCGTATTCTACGGGAAAGCCTTCCGCGTGATCTTCTGCAGTGGTCTTGCTTCTGCCCGCTGTTCTTGTTCGTCTTGTTGTAGCCGAGCAAGTAGCTGTAGAAGTCGTCAGTGATGATCTTCAACCATGGCCATTGTCTGCAAGTTCGATCCTGTTCGGAAGTCAATTTTTATAATGGTGCCGCGTTGGTTGTAGTTCTCCGCTGTGTTAGGTGATGGCGCTGCGGATTTTTTTCAAGTTATACAGCCAGCTACACTACTGCAGGACATGAATGCACTGCAATACGACTCAGCACCTTGTCGCCCATGTGAAGTGATCGCTATAGTATAGTGACCACGTCAGCACTTTTCTGCGCGAGCTCCTGTTTTGATCATTCGCGGCCACCATCTAGCTGCTGCTGTAGTTTGATTCTTCTACTTCTAGAGCCACCGCGCGCCTTTTCTTCTATCGGTATCAAATAAAGCAACAAAATGGGCCAGGGATCGTGGTCGTCGAATCATGCAACGACCCAAATGACTCCGGATAACGCGGGCGACAGTACTGAAATGGGGCCAGTCTTCTTGACTTCGTGCTCTACTTATGGAGCTACAACCTGGCTGCTTTTCCAAGTAGCAGCCGCGTTTCGTGATTTTGTACAACAGTCGGGACCTTTTGCAGGTTGTTGCGGTAGGGTGTCAGCAGCTGCGCCGCAGTTTTTACTCTTGCTAGACTTATACACAGTCTCACAATGGTGCGAGTCAAGGAGCGCGCCCGAGCAGCTTACCGAGGGAAGACCATAGCGCGCCAGACAGCTGCGGCAACTCGGCGCGTTGTATCTTCAGGCGGCCCAGTCGCTCCTGAACCTGATGCCCCTGCGTCTTCGGAGCAACTGGACGACTCTAGCATGGAAGTAGAAGGCGCTGGCCATCGGGTGGCGGAATTACAGAAGACTCCGTCTGGCGTCGTGGAACAAGGTGCAGATAGTGGCAGTAGTAGCTACTGCCCTGATCGGTCCGGTCATGAGTCATCCGCCCCCGACTGGGTTGGCCAAGGCCAGCGTTTTCGACACGGCTGGCAGTGACCGCGACGCTTTCCATTCATGCGCTGGATCGCTAGAGGCGCCCCACCCAGCCCAGGGCTGACTCCTCCTGACGCGCAGGGATATAGGAATCGAGTAGCTCTGCTTGAGGAAGAACTGCCGGCCGACCACTTGGAGAAAATAAGTCTGCAGCTTCTACAGGAGCAAGCTCTTCAGCGCGAAGATTCAGAGGATGGACCATAAAAGTGACCACTTGCGTTGCTATGGTAGGTCAGGAGTAGGCGACGGCGATCGTTGTGACTTAGTGGAGCAAGCCGCTTCACGCGAGCAGATGACGAAAAAGGGAAGCGCAAGCGCTAGCACTAGCAAAACAGCTAGCAAATTGATGACAGCGAAGCGGAGAGTAGTGGCGCAAGTGTCAACGCCGACACCTCCGAAGTATCAGCTGACGAAAAGAAGAACGCTGGCTGCTCCTGCTCTTGCTTCTTTGATGAAAATGAAGACGAAAAAGCCACAGCACGGAAAGAAAAGCCTAGCGAATCTGCAGCCGCGGCCGCGATATGCTTTTGCGGACTTTTTCTGCGATCAAGCAGCGACCAGAAGCACAGCAGCAGAGGCCAGACGTGACGAAGACGCCAGTAAATGTAGAGCTGTCGCAATCGCATGACAGGCAGCAGCCTGATGCCGTGGCAGATGGGGTTGTGGATGATCATGATACTCCTGGCGGGAACTTGGCTCCCCGAAAAAGCTGCTTCGCGTCAGCTTGTAGTAAGTAGTGGCAACGCTAACAAAGGCGACCATCTCACTGACCAGGAGACGGGCACGAAGATGGTGGCGATCTTTGAAGAATCTCCATTGAAGCCGCAAAGGCTACCAATGTTGGGAAGCTGGACCGCGCCAGGCTTGGACGAGCTAGACCCGGATCGTGAATTGCTCAAGGACAGGGGTGGCCTTCCAATGAAGGCACTACCTATCTTAAGCGTAACGGTGTGGCGTTTCTTATTGTTCGCGTGATTGTTCTGGGATACTCGTCTGGGTGCGGCGATCATCAGACTCGGGGATGGGGCTCTTGGTCTCCTCTCGACACGAGGCGAGAGCGAGGGCCGGGGGCTCGTCGGCTGCGAAGGCTCCCGGACGATAACTATGCGCGACCCATCACGCCCGCCCACCGACACTCGCCCCGAGTCGGGGCGCCGTGGCCTGCTCGCGGGTAGTCGGTCTGCGCCGCGATGGCGATCGCCCTGCATAGAGCTGCGCCACACACCCGCCGAGATAAATGATGACTATCCCTTGGCGTCATACTGATGCGAAACAGATTCAAACGCATACAAAGAGCAAGCCCGAGCGAAAAACACAAACGAAAGACCACACGACAAGAAAAACCACAGAGAAAACCACACGTCCCACAAGCCCACACACACAGAACCCACTTGCGAGCGAGCTTCAGCGCTGTCCGTCAGCTGCTGACCTTGGTTGCTGCCGGCCAGCTACAGCCTGCGGCGGGGCGTTTCCCAAATATCGACCACCGGGCGTGACACTTGTGCACCTGCGCCGCCGTAACTAACCACTTCGCCCCAGCTGGCGCCTCCTAACTGCAGAAGACGGCGGCCGCAGTGGTTCTGCGCGTGCTTCTGCTGCTTCGCGGCATACTTTGGCCAGGCGGGGCCTCGTCGTTGCGCGGCTTCTTTCTCGAAGTCGAAGCAGGAGCGCTCGGGCCATCTGAGCCGCACCCTCCTGGCAATCCCACCCTTGGCCGCGTTTCGCCATATTAGGTGGCTCATTCGTGGACTATTCTGCGCGGGCATGTGTCGCAGGTACACTCACGCGGGCCCTCGTATCAGATGACCCCGCACGGCGCCAGCTCTGCTCCCACCTTCATGGAGGCGACCCCCCGAACCGCGTCGGCCAGTTTGGACTCGGCTGCGCCATGCAAGCCAAGCCACCAGCGGGCGCGTCGCATAATGGGGACCACACTCATGCCAGTTTTACCTCCTCCAGTTAGATGCGTGCTGCCTTCGTGTACTTAGCTGCGACTACTAGTCTGTATATTAATAGGCTAGCGGAGGCGCTAGGTAGAGCAATTGCAGCTACTTCTGCCGCTTAGTATTCTAGGCAGTGCGCTTCTCTTCTGTAGTTATGAAAGGTTTCGCTAGGGGATGAACTGCGAGAAGGAGGCAGAAGTAGTCTTAGGTGATGAAGTAACTACAACTCGCCCTCGTTTGTGTAGGTGTGTTATGTTAAATAAGTGAGGCGATGGCAATCGCCGAAGTGCGTTATAAGCAAGAGCCTCAGTTGGGGGCCATTTTATTCGCTACAACAGGACAGCAGCAGCGTCGTCGCACGATGAGCAAGGCCACGACAGAGCGACCACCGTCATCGTCTTCGTCTTCATCTGGTAGCTTTGGTTCTAGTGCTGCCGCTGCCTTAATTGGAAACGGGTCGTCGTCGTGGTTATCTGCTTACCCGGCCGGGCTATCGCAAGGTGATTCGTGTGGGATCACTGGACGAAGCTACGCCGATGCGCTTGCAAGTGATGACATGAGGGTGAAGATGACGAAGGTGGAGATGTAGGCGTAGACGATGGAAATGAAGTAGGACCAGGCGACGAAGGTGAATGCTCCGCGTTCGAATCCGGCAACAAGGTCGAGGAGGCTGGTTCTCATAGTCTTGCGAAGGCAACCATGGAGATCGATCACGACGAAGAGGGGCAAGCGTCTGGTATGGGGGCGCTGGCTGGTGGCTTCTTTCCAGAAGG